CCCCCCCCCCCCCCCCCCCCCCCGGGGGGTCCCCCCCCGCCATCCCGCACCGAGAGCTGCCGGACCCGCCGCCGCGGGACGCGGGGCCTCCGCCGGGCCGGGCCGACCCGGAGAGCGGCGGCGCCGCGGGTCCGTCCCGCCCGGCCCCGGCCCCGGTGGCGGCGGAAGGAGGGGGGGTGTCTGAGCTGGCCAGGGTACTGACCCGGCCCCGCACGGCCCCGCCGGGGCACGGCTCCTCCTCCGCCGGCTTTGGAAACCATTTGGCGTCCTCTGGGGCTCCCACATCTGGAGTTCTTCTTTCGCACTTCTGGCAAGAGCTGCTGGGTTTCGTGTTTTGCTGGGTACTTGTGGGGTTTGTGTAGGGTTTTTTGTTTGGGGTTGTTTTGTTTTGTTTTGTATTAATATATATTTTTTTATTTTTTAATCCACGTTCAGGAAGGCAGTGTCTTTCTCCTAGAGCTCCCGCTCGGGGCTGCCCTACCCAGTCCATCCTCCCCGACCCTCCTCCTCCTCCTCCTCCTCGCACTCCTGGCCTCTTTCCCTTTGCTCTCTCTCCCTTTCAGAGTCGAGGGCTGCCGGCTCCTCGCTGGCCGCTTCCCCTGGGTTGTTTTTGCTGAGATTTCCCCCGAGTCTCTGCCAGCCGTGGCTGCCACCCCTCTTCCCTCGGAGTTTCAGTTTCAGAAGGGTGGTGTGGAGGTGCCTCCTGCCCTGCACTGAGTACAGCCTGGGTGTCCAGGCACTGAGTCCTTTGAGAAGCTCTATGTCCCAGACCTCTGCCCACTGTTGAAACCAGTGCTCTAATGAATGTGGAGTCCACCTTCATTTTAAGGTCTTGGGCAAGTTCCTTGGGTCCTCCATCAACCGGAGAAGCCAGGACCTTGCAAGTCTTGCCTCTGCTTCCTGGATGTCCACAGCGGCAGCTTTCTGGGAACCCCATGAAGCCGGCTGCCCCCACTTTCTGTGCCCTGCACAAATTCTCCTAGACCTCAGCAGCTGAGGAGAGACCGAGGATTTGTCTGAATGTGGCTTGGCTTCCTCGTGCTAATCCCTCTCACAGCGGTGTGTTTGCTGTGACCTGTGGTCCCTGAGGAGGAGGTGGGGGTGTCGCCCAGGACCTGCTGCCACATCCCCTTGCTCTCTCCAAGGTGCTGGGCTGGGCCCTGACCAGGGGAGGGAGGGCAGGGACCAAGGGTTTCCTCCACATGGGTCCACACTGGCCCTAGTCAGGGTTTTAGGAGCCCTCCATGCCTTTTAAGAAACAAAGTTGTTTTGACTCAGCCTGGAATCCCTCATAGTGGTTGGAAGAGAACTGGAGACCATTTCTTTTCAAACCTCTCTGCTTCTTGGTCTTCTCCACCACCAGGGCCTCCTTGGTGTGTTTTGCTCCATTTTACCTTGGGGATGGAGGGTGTACAGCTGTTGCATTCAGTTCTGCAGGAAAGGAAGTCCATCACCCAGGAAGGTGAATAACTGTGCATGAGCTCCAGGTGACACCAGCAGCTGTAGTGATAGCCTTTCTGGTGCAGGAGAGCGATAAGGTTGTGTTTCTCAGTCTTCAGTTCTCCAAATATCTCCCACAGTAGAGGTTCAGGCTTGTATTATCATGCCACTTCATTGGTTGGGAAGGATTTGGGTAGGCTCAAGTCTTACTCAGTGTCACCTAAGAGGTTGTGCACCAGAAGCACATGGTGTGTGTATGGCTGGGTGGCTAATTATCTGCAGAGGAATATTATTCCTTCATCTTGCTCCATCTTATCTCTCTGCATTGAAGCCCCTGTGCAGGACATGGAAATAACTGAGCCATATTTTCCTCCCAGGGCTGGCAGCCTGGCGGGGGGAGAGCTCCCGCAGGAGCCCCGGTACCGCGGCCGCTCCCGGGCTGGAAGGGGACCGGAGGCGGGATTTCCCCTCCGTTTGCCGGTGCCTCCCGCCAGCCGCAGCTCACCTGACCGCCACACGGGTGTGCTCCCGCCATACCGCAACGACAGC